CAGCCCTGCATTCATTTTCTTTCTTTTTTTTTTTTTGGTACTGGGGATCAAACTCAGGACCTTGCGCTTGGGAGGCAGGAAGCAGAACCACTGAGCTAAATCCCAAGCTCCATTTTCATTTTTTACTAATAAACACCTTGCAAATACAATGAAAAAAGCCAAGCAGGATGATGCACACCTGTAATCTCAGCCCTCGGGAGGCTGAGGCAGGCATACACTCCGAGTATGAAGGCAGCTTGGGCTACACAGTGAGTTCAAGGCCACCCTAAATCACACAGTGAGACCCTGTCTCAAAAACAAAAAAACAAAACAAAACAAAACACGGGCTAGGGATTTAGCTCAGTGGCACTGTGCCTGCCTTGCAAATGCAAGGTCCTAAGTTCGATCCCTGTTATGGGGTGGGGGTGGGAGGAGAAAATAAAAAAACAAGGACTGGGGTAGCTCAGTGTGCCACTCACTGCCTGCCTCACAAGTGCAAGGTCCTAAGTTCAAGACCCAGGACCACAAAACAAAACAAAACATTATAAAACTTAAATAGGAAAGTAAATAATAAATGGAGAAACATACCAAATCTTCATATTCTGCAAGATAATCTATATATGCAGTGATACTTAAAATTACATTGGGCTTGCATTTTGACTTTACTTGTTTCCTTACAATGAATAAAATCTTAATTTTAATGTAATTAATCAACCAACCCTCTCCCTTTTTTCTCAGTATCTTAGAAATCCTTCCAGAGTCAATGAAAATACCTAGAGGTGGAACAGATATTCTCCAGTATAAACTTTCCTGCTGTCTCAGCCTTCTTCAGTGCTTAAGTGTTAGGATGTTAGATTTCCAGTATAAATTTCTAAAAGTTTAGTTTTACTATCTAATTTAGTCTTTAATCTGCCTTGACCTGCTTTTTGTGCACACAGTGAAATAATTGGGTATATTTTGCTATAGACTGAAAAATATCCTTAGTACTTTTTATTTTCAACTTTTATTTTTATTAGTACATATGTGCAGTATAGCACCATTTATTTAAAAAACAAATAAACCTTTCCTCAGCTAAAATGTTACTTCTGTCATTTATTAAATGACCATATGGGTGGATGTGTTTATGGGCTTTCTATATAATTCCACTCATCTACATATGGATCCCTATACTAATACAATACTGTTTTAATTTCTGTAACTTTATGCCAAGTCTTAATAGACTTGGTAGAGGGAGTTCTCCAACCCTGTCCTTCAAGAATATATATGTTCCTTTGTATTTCTAATCTTATGATCAGTTTGTAATACATCCTTTGTCTGCTAAGGACCTTTAAAACATGAGTACAGTATATGTGATAAAATATTTTTCCTGAGCTGGGCGTGGTAGCGCACACCCAGCACTTGGGAGGCTGAGGCAGGAGGATCACTGTGAGTTTGAGACCAGCCTGGGCTACATAGTGAGTTCCAGGTCAGTCTCAACTACATAGTGAGACCCCTGTCTCAAAAAAGCAAAAAAAAAAAAAAAAATTTTTCTTCATAAATCTTTTTAAATAATCATAACTTTTTCGGTTAAACTTATTAGCCAACAGTATTATGCTGATTTTCTAATGTTAAAACAACTTTTCATTCTTGAAATAAACCCAATTTGTTCATGATGTACATTTAGTCTATGTTGTTGCACTAGGTATGCTAATTTTTTTTTTTGGTACTGGGGATTGAACTCAGGACCTTGCACTTGTGAAGCAGGTGGCAGAACCACTAAGCTAAATCCCCAGCCCTCAAGGTATGCTAATTTTTTTTTTTTTTTTGGTACCAGGGATTGAACTCGGGTCCTTGCGCTTGCAAGGCAGGCCACCGAACCGCTGAGCTAAATCCCCGGCCCAGGTATGCTAATTTTTATGTTCAGATTGAGTGTTTCCTATAATTTTCTTTTCTCATACTGCCCTTGGCAGGTTTTTATTAATAGGTACGTTAGTCTCAATTCATAAAATCTCTGTTCGCCAAAAGCACAAGCTGAACAACCATAATCTGAAATCCAAAATCTAAAATGGCTGCAGACCCACATATACCAGAGATACTCAACCTGTATGGACCATTATAGTGATAACAAAACACTTCAACAAATCACCAATAAAAATCATTTATGAACAAAATATGAAAATGTACCTCAGAAAAGGAATCTGAATGGCCAATTAAAATATGAAATCTTTAACCACCATAACAGCAATCAGGGAAATATAAATTAAAACTCCAATGATGATATCATGCATCAAACCAATTGGCAAAAATTTAAAAGACTGACAAGTTCAAATATTGAAAAGGTATGGAGCAACAGAATTCTCACATACTGGTGTTATAAGTATAATTAGTACAGACTTTTTGGAAAGCAATTTGGGTTTACCTACTAAAACAAAGCTCCATCAGGCAACTTCAATTCTAAATATACACTCTACAGAAACTCATGCATTTGTATACTACAGTATGTACACAAGAATGCTCACAATGGCCCAAAGTTTAAACAAACCAAACATCCATCTCAGAAGAACCAGTAAGTTGTGGTATACTCAGATTCCAGAATATTAGTACTCAGGAATGAAAATGAACTATTGCTAGAAGCAACACTGAGGAGTCTCAAACAATGCTAAACAAAGACAAAAAGAATACAGGACTCCACCGAAACTATTTTCTCCAGATGCATACACAGGTGGTAATACCATAAAGAAATGCAAAGAAGCTATTATGTAGCAAAAAGGTCAATAGTAGTTTTATCTATGATGGTAGAAAATTGAATTAAAGAAGGAAAATGGAGGCCTTCTGACATAAGTGGCTTTTTTTCCTAGGCTTTGGTGGTGAGTATATACAATGTTTGTTTTGCTATTATTTAATAAGTTGCATGCTGGTATTTCATTTACTTTTCTGAATTTACATTTTAATTTTAAAAAATCCCGAATGGTATAGTGACACTGATGATGTAAAAATAAAAATTATAAGGCAAAATAAACAGAAAAAAATGTCAATAAAGAATATAAGTATATAAATGTATATATACCATCTGTTCTGATTCCACTGAAGCAATACATTATGACTAACAGACAAATTAAATCTCAAAATTAATGTTACTAACATCTGAAGCATACAGTTAACTTATACAAGCGAAGCTCACCCATCCTCAATAATGGTTTAGCAATGCATACCATGTGCTTAGTTACTTGTCAACAAATGTCAAAAATACTAAGAAAATAATTTAAAGAAACAAGTAATTCACACAAAGATGTCTACAAAATATATTTCTCATTATTAGTACATATGTTAAATAACTGTACAATGCACTGAGTGTTAAAACTGATCGAATTTAGTATAGTTATGGTGAACCTTTTAGAGCTCTCAATGATACAACTTTCTGTGGCACATGAGCCATAGGTTAGCCACCACTAATCTCGTATTTGGACTGAATCATGCTCCCCACATCCTACCAAATTAAAATTCTGCCAATCTGCCAACAGTACACGGGAGCCAAATTTAGTAATTATTTATAAGGATAATATAAAGAGAAAAGGAAGGCACACGGAAAGGAGCCCATTCCTGACCTGTAAGACAGATACCGTTCAGTGATAATGTTACCTGTTCTCAGCTTTCTTGCTTTTATTGCCAGGACTGGAGGATCGGGATCTTCGGCCCCTGCTTCTACTCCTTGAGCGCCTCCTGTCTCGGCTTCGAGATCTTCTTCGCTCTCGACTTCTATCTCTTTCTCTACTTCTGGAACGCCTGAAAGGGGGACACTTCTCATTTACCCTAAGGCCAAAGACAGCTACTATTTCAGATCATGATTCTTTTTCATTTTGAAAGAAGCTTCTTCTTTGTAGCTCAGTGATATTCTGCTGACCTAGCATGCGTCCAATCCACAGGAATAAGGGGGAAAAAAGCTTAAACCTAAGAATGACAGGCAGAATGGAACTGTGAATGATCACTGATCTGAAGATCAGGTGGTAATAATTGAAATCCTGGTGCTGCTAGTAACCAGTGACTCTGATGACAAAGGTCAGATCTTTTAACTTTCTTGTCTCAGTTTCCTCATCTGTAAAATATATACACTTCACCAGCTAATCTCAAAATGTTTCTTGATCATCAAAAAGTCAAAAACCAAATTCTAAACAATGAACTTCACTTAACAAGTACTTAACTGAACTGCGAAATTGTCCTTGGGACCACAAAATATAAGACTGAATTATTTACTTCTATTTTCACTGTCATGGGTAAAATTCTATTACATTTTGTCCTTCTAATGTCTGAAAAGGTCAAATTCATTCTATGATTTGTTCACAGCACCCACTCATATCTCTGTTATCTGTTCAGATTTCTTTCCTATTTTAAAGAGAAACACTATTAGAAAAAATATTTTGGTGTAAGGAATATTATTTTCATTTAAAGACTGTTTTCTCACCTCTAGAAAGATCATGCTGCTTGACTAGTACCAATGAATACATAATCAAGCAAATGCTAAAAGGCCAGAGCTCATTGCAGCTCAGTGCAAAGGCCCTGGGTTGACTCTCCAGTACTGCAAAAACAACAACAACAACAACAACAACAAAAAAAAAACACATAATAAAAATGTTTATAGAGCAATCAGGGCTGGAGAAGGGTCTGCCCTGGCTCCTATCATCTCCTTCAGGGGCTGCTCTGTATAGTGGTCAGCTCTCTTGGGGCTGAATCAGGGCTTCCATCAACAGAACATATTACTTACTTTTTACTTCATTTTTTACATCCCTCAATGGGTTCCAAGGGTTTTCTTTGGGTTGCAGACAACAGAACCTAAAGCTTCCCAACTAAAAATACTGTTTTGAGAGTCTTTGCAGGCAAATCCTCCCGGGTTTAATCAAACCATAGGGATATAGCAGAGACTCCATAAATGAGCCACTAAATTCCAGTTCAAAACATACTTTTTGGAGGAGTTCAGCTTAGCTAAAAAGGCCCAATTTATCCTTGGCCCTCTGGAGATTAATGTCTTACCTCAGACGCTTCCTGTCCCTTGACCGAGACCTTCTTTTATCCCTGCTTCGAGACCTTTCTCTCCTTCTATCTCTATCTCTACTTCTAGACCGTCTGTCATCTCCACGTTTACTTCTTTTGTCTGAGGGTGAGCGACTTCTAGATCGACTTCCAGAGCGTCCCCTTGATGCTGATCGTTTCCGATAGTGGCTAGAATAATATTGTCAAAGTTTAGTAAATACAGCTTTTATTACTTATCTACACACACACACACACACACACACACACACGCACAATCTTACAGAAGAATTAAATACAGAAAGAACTTTTCACAAACTTTTATAAAAATTAGGAGTAAAAGAATGTGTTATAGCACATGTAGAGGGGGAAGAACTGCCTTGAAAGAAAAGGATAGTGAACAATAAGATCAAACACCTGTTTCCAGTCCCAGCCTGCTTATATTCTTGTGAAGGAAGAGATAACAGACAAGCAAAGAAACAAACATACAATATATCAAATAGTGCTATAAGCAGATGAGAATAAAGAAAAAAGGACAGTAAGAGATTTCCTTATTGTATATTAGGTGACACAGAAGGCCTCACTAACAAAGTGACATTTGTTACAGAGTCCTGAAAGAAATAAAGGCAGGAACCATGCAAATATACGGAAGGGAAAAGGCACAAGTGCACAAACTGGTGCATTCAAGGAAGTGCAAAGAAACCAGCTGAAGCCAGGGTTGAAGCAACTGGAGTACCCAGAGCTACGGTCAAAGAAACAAAGCAGGCAAACATGGAAAGCCTTTTAGGCCACTATAAGGTCTATGTCTTTCATTCTAAGTAAGATGAAAAAGTACTAGGCCAGGCAGAGCGGTAGTACACACCTGAAGTCCCAGCAACCCAGGAGGCTGAGACAGGAGGGTTATTGTAGCCCAAGAGTTTGAGACAGCAAAATATCTATAGGGACCAAGAATGGGATGTTACGAAAGACCCTTGCAGTGGATCCTGGTCTCCTATGAGGCTATATAACACAGAACTAGTAAGAGTAAAGAAAGAAACAAGACTTAGAAAGCTGGGTCTTAGGGCTGATCTATACTGCTCTGGGCAAAAAAGACAAAAGCCCCAAGCACATCCAGTAATTATCGATTACAAGAGTGGGAAGAAAAGTGAGTAGGGTATGCTTTGAAGTCATCTAGTGATACAGGGACAAACACCTGGCATGATGGCACCAAGCAGGGCTGTGAGGAGACACTGCTTACCTTGTTTGGAGAGAACAAAGGGTACCAGGACCAGGTGCAATTAACCAGCAACCCAAGAGGTCAGTGAGATGCCATAACTAAGGGGAAGGATTTTGGTTGGAGCCAGGTTGACCCTGGATGGGAGTAAACTCAGCTGAGCCCTGCTGCTTCACGGACTAGGGCTTAAGTCTGAGTGTAGCACATATTAGCAAAGGAGCAATACTAGCCAAGCTCTGCTATCTGACAAGCCCATTTGAGTCATGTAAAGCTTTGGTCAGACTCCTAAGATGAAACAATATATCCAAATCACCAAAAAGCATGGCCACTTATATATAGCCTCCTAGTACTTGGAAGGGATGTCTACTGCAAACATCATCTCAAAAAGAAATACAGAAAGAGAGAAAAGAGAGAAAGGGAGGACAAGAGAAAACAAGAAATAAAGGAAAGCAAGTAAGCAGGAGAGGTTAAAGATTTTAAGGAGAGGAAGACAACCTCACCAATGTTTAAAAATATTATTCTGGCTGCTAAGTGAAACAAACTAAAGAGAGAGGCAAGAGGAGGAGGGGAGAAAATAGAATTGTACAGCAATCAGCTAGGTAACAGTGGTGGCCTAGGTCAGAATAGCAGGTACAGAGAGAGATGTTGAGAAGTATCAAATTATCGCAGTAGGGGCTGGGGGTGGAAAGAGCTAGCTAGCACAGATTAGATTCACCAAAGAATTAAAATGTCAAGTATGATGGTAAGACAGAAGTCCTGGATGTCTCCAAGATATGTAACCAGACCAAGTAGAAACATGAAGGTGTGTGGAGCATGATTACATACATGCCTGTAATCCTAGCCCTTGGAAGGCAGAGGCAGGAGGATCACCTCAAGTTCTAGGCCAGCCTGGACTACAGAGTGAGTTCAAAGCCAGCCTGAACTACATAGCAAGACCCAGTCTCAAAAATCAAAAACAAAAACAAGCTGGGCTGGGAGTATACTTCAGTGGTAGAATATGTGCTTAGAACATGTGAGGCCCTGGGTGCCAATCCCCAGCAAAAAAAAAAAAAAAAAAAAAAAAAAAAAAAAAAAAAAGAAGAAGAAAGAAAAGGGCCAGGGGAGGAGTAGATTTAGGAGGAAGGTGGAAAATCAGAATATTAAGTATCCAAATGAAGGTGTACAGTTGGTAAGTGAAATGTAAGTCTGGACTTCAAGGAAGAGGTTTAGTCTGGCAATATATACCAGGAAGCTATCAGTGTACTAAAGCTATTTAAAGTGATAAACCTGGGTAAGACCACCAGAGAATGAGCACAACTGATTATTCTTCGAGTTTCTCAACTTAAATGTGCAGGAACCCAAACTTATCACCTCTCTCTCCCCAAAGCATTTATCATCCCACTAGGCTCAAAACATCATTTATTTCCCATATCTTCTTTTTATCATTCGACACAATAAGTAAAACCCCAAGCATCATCACTTTTACTTCTGTAATTCCTTTCACATATCATCTCAGAATTCCCCCTATCACTATTCTATATCAGATCTATCTACTTAGGACATTTTTTAAGACTCCTGGTATTCCTGCTTCTATTCCCATTTCCCTTAAATTTTCATTACTGCTACTAGGGACATTTTCCTAAAGTGGAATCTTATCACACACTTTCCTTTTTTTTTTTTTTTTTTTTTTTTTTTTTTTTTAACAGTACCTGGGATCAAACTTGGGACCTTGCACTTGAGAGGCAGGTGGTGGAATCACTAAGATAAATCCCTGGTCCAATTTCTTATAATCTTTAAAGGCTCACAAACAAATTCTTATCTTCAAATCAAACTGACAATCCATTCACTTTCTGGGTTATTATAAGACCAACCTCCTACTCCTCTTCAGTACTTCTTGAAAACCACATACACAGGCAAACTGGGCTCTCTAGTTATTTCTCTTCACACCCTGCTCTTTCCCATCTCCAAGCCTTTCATTACTCGCTGAAAAAACCTAAAAGCACAGGGCAAACACGGCAAAAAGGTATAGGCAGAAAGCTGCTTTAAGAGTCTGAATTTTGGCCATTTGGAGCACACCTGTAATCTCAGCAATTGGGAGACTGAGGCAGAAGGACTGCTGCAAGTTTGAGTTCAGCCTGGGCTACATAGTGAGTTCAAGGCCAGCCTGAATTACAGAGAGCCCCTGTATCCCCACCAAAAAAAGAAAGCAAGAAAAATCTGAATTTTATCTTTACTTCAGAAGTGTCACTCTGGCTACAGTATGAAGGAATTAATGATTAGGATAGCAAGATCCAAGGAAGGTAATCAATCAATCCAGAGAGAATCAACTTGAAGCAGGTGTAGGAGTCTGAGCAACGAGGGCCTCAACTCAAAGGGCAATAAAACAGAAGAATGAATCAAATAAATTATCACTTCCAGATTTTTGGTCTGGGTGGCCAGAGAAATAGCAATACCTTCAAGGAAAGTTGAAAAACTTTCAGATTTTTACAGTTAAGTAATTATTCTTATCCAGACAATGGTCACACAATTTACATATCTAATTGTCACCAAACTCTACGTTTACACTGTATTTCCCCAGTGGTTATTCCTCAATATAGTTAGCATAAAAAACAAAACAGAACCCTCACTGTAACTAGGCATAAAGCAAATTTCAGTCGCTGCTAAACACATACCAGTCACTTTTAAGGTAAAAAAAAAAAAAATCTGAAAATCTTAAACCATTTAACAGCAATTTAAAGTCTGGAAGAGATCTCATAGTTCTAACAAGGTCTCCCACTGCAATCTCATAAAGATAGAAAACAGGTAACGAAAAAACATTAAATCTACTTGTGAAGTAAACGTCCATGTGACAAATACCGTAGCCCAGTAAAAGCCAGTAGTGTACAGGGCTGGAGACGCGGTAAAAATGTCTACCCACATGCTTCTTTCAACTGACTCAGAAAAGACCGCGCAAAGAATTAAAATACGAAGGGACAAGCGCTGAGAACACAAAAGCGAAATGGAAGAGAAACTCAACTGGGGTCATCACTTCCTGAGGTGACCAGGGCCTAAGCTCTGTGGCAGTCGCGGGATGTGGTGCCCAACACCAGACGTCCTGGAGAGCTGTTACTGCTCCAGGGGCTCGGACCCGGCTGGCGCTGGTGCAGAAAAGAACTACAATGGTCGCCGACCCGTGAATAGTCATTGCCTCGGCCAAGGTCCCGAGCCCCTCCACCGGATGCTAAGTACAGCTGGTCTCACGTGGGGCCGCCCCAGGCCTGGCTCCGCCGCTACCTCAACTCCCGCCACTTCTCCCGACCTTCAGAAGCCGCTCGCCCGCTCGGCGCACTGACTCACCGCGACTCCCGGCCCATGCTGCCGGCTGTACCAAAGCTTCACCCTCGGGGACGCCCAGGCAAACAGGTCAAAGAAAGAAGCCGTACTGCACTAGGGCTCAGGACGAGGACCAGTACTAAGAAGCTGCAGCAGCTACAGCAGGAGCCGCCATTCCACCACGACCAACGAAAACAGGACGTGCTGGCATCAGCGGCAGAAGAAAGGAAACAGCCCGCCGGAAGCTGCTGTCTCCCCACAGCGGCCCCTCTTGGCGGGAGGGTGTGCAGCGCTGGGCACGCCCGATTGAGACGCCCTCGCGGGCTTCCCATCCCTAGAAGGGTCTTTGCTGCAAGGACACCTATACATCCTGCGCAGCTTCGTGGTGAGCCAGAGCATGCACTCATGCCCATTTCAATCTTACGTTTTTAATGCTACAACCTTCTCCATACACGCACTTGATTCAATAAAACTTTCACTTATGTGTTGTCATATGCCAGGAATGTGCTAGATTTCCTGAGGGGCTTACAGTTGTGTGTTTAATAAACAAGACTGGAGGGCCGGGAATTTAGCACAGTGGTGCCACCGCCTGCCTCACAAGTGCAAGGTCCCAAGTTCGATCCCCGGTACCAACAAACAAAATAACAAGACTGGAAACAAAAATTGCTGTAGTAATAAAATAAGGAGACGCTACACTGTGGAGGGAAGAGCTCCCTGAGGGTTAAGTGGGTTTTGGGCTTGCAAGCAAGATTTGAAGTCTGAGGAGTTAATCCAGTGAAGAGAAAGAATTAAAAATACATTAGCAAAAAAATTATAATAGTTCTCTACATTGCCTGGACTAGGAAACTTTGTGGGGCATGGAGTATCTGGCTTCCACCGGTCTAGAGAACTTCTTAAACATTTGAGGATTTTTAGGGCCGGAGATTTAGCTCAGTGGTTCCGCTGCCTGCCTCACAAGTGCAAGGATCCGAGTTGGATCCCTGGTACCAAAAAAAATTTTTTTCAAAATTTTTAACCCAAGGTAATCCTGAGGTCAAGATTGAGAAGGAATGGTTTCCTGGAATACCCACTAAAATGTTCTTGTAGAAAGCTGTAATGAAGTCGGGTAGAAGCTCTCATTTTCATATTACATGCTTCTGTACTATTTACTTTTTTTTAACACTTAAAAATGATAGAAAAGTTCTCTATCTTGATTGTGGTAGTACATGGATGTATACATTTTTAAAAAGTCATTTATCTATATACTTTAAATTGGTGCATTTTATTGTATATAAAGTTTTATCCAAATAGTTGATCTTGAGGCAGGTGTGGTGGCACACGCCTGTGATACCAGTACTCAGGAGGCTGAGGCAGAAGAAGTGCCCCAAGTTCAAGGCTAGCCTGCACTACATAGCAAGACCTTATCTCAAAAAACAAACAAACAAAATAAAGTTGTTTTATTTTTACAACCCTTTAAGCTTTTGATTCCCTTTTATTTGATGCTCTTGAGGTGTCCCCTCAAGTTGATGTTTTAAAAAACATCTCAAAAAGAGGGGAGAGGGCCCACTAAGAGAGACAGGAAGAAGTGGTCAGATTCTGAACATGAATTGATGAATTGGATGTGGCTGCAAGGCAGCAGGAGAAAGACAGGTCCCAGGTTTTGAACAGAGCTATTGCAGACTGTGGCGAATGTGTGAAGAAATGCATGGGAAGCAGTTTTGGGTCCAAGGGAGAAATAGTGGGAGATAAATGATTTACTAGAATTTAGTAGAATGCATAATACACCCACTGGTATTCACAGACATGGAATTGGATGAGGTCATGCAAAGTGAATGAATTAACTAACTTTTGAATTAGCAATTTGAATATTGCCTGTCACAGAATTAATGTTACAGATGGAACAGATTTTTAAATCACATACACATCTTGATTTTAAGTAAGAAAGCTGAGTCTCAGGAAACTCTGTTAGTCCTAGACCATAAATCTTGTTGGAATTTAGGCTGGAAACAGAGAATCAGCATCTGACACCGAGGCCAGAGCTCATTTCATACTTTCCCACTCTCCTTTGAGAGAACTCAGTCAACAAGGCAATTCCAACTGGCACAAATACCTCATGTCCACGACATACATGTGGTGATTTCACAGCACTTCAGCATCCTAAGAAGCTGCTTTTGTGTTAGTATAGGTCATAGAAGGGATTACAGTCTACACTGTCTCTAATACATTACTATCAGCAAACTGCCCTACCTTCCAAAGCAGCAGATTTTGATTCTAGCTCAGTTCTGAGTATTTTTTTTTAACATTTTTGCTGTTTTTATTTTTTTCAGCACCAGAAACAGAACTCAGAACCTTGTGCTTCCCAGGCTGGCACAGCACCACTGAGTTACAACCCCAGCCCCCTCTTGCTATTTTTAATAGCAATGGTGATGCACACATATCCATTTACACAACTGACTGACTACTGGGCGACATGGTTGCAGAAGTCACCTGTAAACAAGCATCTTGTCAATCTACATTTAATTCATATACCTCTCAAAACCCTGACATTTCTAAATAATATTTTAAATATTTTGAACACTAAAAAACTTCTTTTTCTATTTCATATAATTTAACACATCTAAGGAAATTATTGGGGGATGCCAATAAGTTGAAGAGAAAAACACGGCATAAATAGACATAGATATAGGTCTTCTAACATGTAAGTTTGGTAATGATGTGCAATTACTACAGTTGCACGTGTCGACTGGTTAAACAGGGGCTTTTTTAAAGGAACATAAGTAGTAAAAATGTGCAGTTATGGGGTGGGGATTTAGCTCAGCGGTTCCGGCGCCTGGCTTGCAAGCAGCAAGGGCCTGAGTTCGATCCCCAGTAGCCCCCGCCAAAAAAATGTGCAATTAAACAACTTCACTAGTGTCCTCCTCGGGATAAAGGGGGCAAGTGACAACTCTCAAAGATCTTTTTTTTTTTTTTTTTTGGTACCAGGGATTGCACTCAGGTCCTTGCGCTTGCAAGGCAGGCCACCAAACCGTCAAAGATCTTAATAGGTTTTTTGTTTTGTTTTTTGAGACAGGTCTCTCTATACAGTTTAGGCTGGCCTTGAACTCACTGTGTAGCCCAGGCTGAGTTCCAACACGTAGCAATCCTCCCGCCTTAGCCTTCCAAATGTTAGAATTACAGGCGTGCACCACCATTCCTGGCCATTAGTTCTCTCAAGATAGTATATTCATTATGAAATCAGAAACTGTACAGTCTTGTGATCTTAATCTCAAAATCAAAGGAATAGACTTAAATATTATATTTTCCATTATTCTATTTCAACAGAAAATGACAAAAATCAAGACTTACTCATAATTAAAAAGTACAGAAGTCCTTGACTTATAAACATTTAAGTTTCAAACTTTCAGACATGAATAGACCTCACATTACAACATTTCATAAATGCAAACAAAGCACAGAAGTAGCTCACGTCTGCCTAACATATTCACAGTTGTGCTGTTGTGTGCTTACTGTACAGTGCAATAGGATACAGTAGTGCAGTGCTCAGAGCCCAGGATGTACAGAAGCAAGAGGAAAAGCAATGATGATGCAAAAGGGACTGCTAGGAAGCACAAAGCGATATACACTGTGTATTTGTGTCAAAGGTGTATAAGACTTCACTGGACTTACAAAGGAACCGAATTTACAAATGTCCTCTTGGAACAGAACTCATTTATAAGTCAGGCACTTACTGTATTTTCAACATCACACAAACTAACCAAATAGAATACACAAAATAGAACCAAATAGAACACACACAAAAAAGGCTAAGTGGTATACCTTAAGTTTCATACATTTTTAAGAAAACAAAACTTCCAAATGCGACACTGTTGCGCTCACATCGGCAGCACATATACCAAATGTGACACTGTTACTAAATTAGGTAAAAAAGGATATTTATGGAGTTGGGTTACATGCCTTAATTATTCAGATCCCATTTTTTAACCATTCTCTTCTAGTTTACTCTAAAAACATACTTCTAGGCCCAGAGGCATAGGTCAGCAGTAGAATCACTAGAATGCATGAAGCCCTGGGTTTGATTCTGCAGCACTGCAAACAAGCAAACAACATACTTCTGAACCTCTGATAACTGAAAACTCAAAATAAAAACTTTCCAATCCTGACTGTGATGTGGTATAAAGCAAATAGGTTTTAAATAGCTTCTAATTTCAAATGCACTATAGTGCTAGGGACTGAACCTACCACCTTGCACTTGCTAAGCTACACCCCTGGCCCACATGTATGTTTCTTAATCACTTCTCCCATTTACATATTGTGCTGACATAAAAATTAAGACAGTAACTCAAAGGAAAAAAGACAGTTTAAAACGTGCAGATATAACATCAGACAATCTAGTTTCTTTCATTTTATTAAGATGGCTTCATTTCTCAGGACAGAATGACACAAATACAAGAAGCCATCCATAGGGATAGTTAAGACCATATTTATCTGGTCTTTTAAAATCACTAGCTCAGCCTCCAAGAGAGTAATTACAAATCTGAGAAGTTAGAGGAAAGATATAGAGTAGGGAGTCTAATGAAACAACGAAAGTCATTAATGACATTGGTACTCTGTTCTTCAGAGCAGTACTAATACAAACTCAACCCTTTAAACTAGGGAACCTGTCATTCTATTCCTAGAAAAGTGGTTTTACAACCTCTATAAAGTAAAAGAAATACACAAAGATGTGAACCAACTGGCCTCCTTTAGAGACAATGCAATACAGAAGAAGTTGGTTTTTTTAAGCTCCCCCTGCTGAGTCCGCATGCTTCATGGCACTTCAGAGCCCCAATAATCAAGGAGTTCATGACAAAAGATAAAAGTGAAAAAGTAGACACAAAGATCCGTGAAGACTTCTCCCATTTTACTGTAAGTATCCATTGATCGATTGATCACTTCAGCAGGAATTCCGGACAGTAGAAGAGCAGCAGTTAGCACTGTTGTCTTTATCTTCTTTTCACCCTGTGTAGAAAGAGACTCAAATTAATGGTACAGCTTTCAGCAAACTACATAAGCTCTGTAAAATATGATCAATACTGTTATTTTTGCCTAAATGATTTCAAAACAGTCAACCATAATGTCAACATTCATTGAACACATAATAGGTAACTCAGTAAACTGCTAGACAATAACACACAAACTTCTTGCTACCAAGTTTTCAAAATGTGTCATCTTAGATAAAAATTTTAGATGTACATGATAGCAAAAGACAAAAAACACAAACATTACTAGTCAGGACATAAACGGTGCTAAATAAATGACATATACAACGTGTGGCATAGGGGCTTAAAGGAGACAGTAACTGCTCCAATGTTTTATGTAAATAAAGCACAAGGAAAACAGGACTTCAAGGTAAAGCAGGATTTAGACTGGCTCAACTGAAAGGAAAACTCCAGCCAGAGTCAGAACTAGGAACATCCTGTAAGGTCCTAATCGCTATGCCAAAAAATTCCTATTGCTTATAAAGGAAATAGGATACCACTGAATAGTTCAGAATACTTTTGGGGGTAGGGAGAATATTCATTCCCTAATATATAATTTTCTACTCTTATTTTAAGAAATTCAAAGCTTTTTTTTTTTTTTTTTTGTACCAGAGATCAAACTCAGGACCTTGAGCTTGCAAGGCAGGCAGCAGCACCACAGAAGTAAATCCCTGGCAGCTGTTTTTAATTTATTGATTTGTAATAAAACAATTCACTCACATGGATCAATAACTTAATATAAAAGAGCTATGCCAGGTGTGGTATGTGCATGTAGTGCCAGCTATTTGACAGGCTGAAGTAGGATGGCTTGAATCCACTAAGAGCATTCCAGCACTCTGGAGGCTGAGGTAGGAGGATTGCTACAAGTTCGAGTTCAGCTTGGGCTAGTGAGCTTAAGACAAGCCTGAACTACAAAGTACACTCCTGTCTCAAAAAGAAAAAAGAAAAAGAGAAAGAACCAGGTATGGTGGCATACGTCTATAATCCCAGTACTTGGGAGCCTGAGGAAGGAGGATCACCACAAATTCAAGGTCAGCCTGAGCTACATAGTGAGATCCTGTTTAAAAAAAAAAAATTACAGCTTGGATGCCAGGCATGATGGTACACACCTTTAATTTCCAGCATTCTGGCAGGATGAGGCAGGAGGATCACAAATTTGAACCCAACCTGACCAAGTTTGCAATTTAGCAAGGCCCTGTCTCAAAATAAAAAGGACTAAGGATGTAGGTCAGTGTGAAGGTCCTGAGTTAAATTTCCAAGTACCATTAAAAAGAAAAAAAGAGCAGTTTAGACAACAGACACCTAGACTCATCACAAAAATGAATGAATGAACAAAAATAAGAAGTTATAGTTAAGGTTTTCGTTTTCCTTAACTATAGAAGTGCTAAGCAGTCTTAGTCATAATAATCCAAAACTGAAAACAAGCAAGATATCAATAGATTAGATAAACAAATATAAGCATACAAGAGAATATTACTCATCAAAGGAATCAAGTATGAATATACTTAATACCATTTTTTAATTAAAAATATTACACACAATAAAAGGCTTATACAAAAAAAAGTATAAAGAAGAACAAATGATCCCACTTTTATGAATTACTAAAAGAGGTAAAAGTAGTCTGCAATAGAGAAAAAAATTAGAACTTTGTGGGGAAAGGGCTGGGAATGCCTGAAAAGGGATACAACTAAACTTCCCAGGGTGACACCAAGTTCTAAATTTTGAAAGGGATTTAAGTTTCACAAGTTGTCATAATTTTCAAATGGTATACTTAAGACTCAAGTGGTTCCATCACAAAAACTTAACCATAAATATAAAGAACCATAAACAAACGTTGATTTGTAGCCAATCCTATGTGAGGGTAAAGTAGAGCGATACACACATCTACAAAATACTTCAAAATGCATCAACAAAGATGGATTGAAAATGGATAGAAAATCAGTATACATGTGGTAAAAATCAATGAAATGTTAATGGAAAAATCTAGGTAGTACAGTGATACCTCAGTACTCATTGTTAATTGTTAAGTACCAAAAACCACTGCAACAACAACAACAAAAAACTGTTTTGGCTGGAAAGGGTAGTGAATCAAGAGGCAACTGACACTGACAAGTTCTAGCTTCTGCTTCAAGTACCAATAAACTGTAAGGACCAATACGGGACAAAATTTTCACATTAAAATGTAAGTAACAGGGCCAGGGATTTAGCACAATGGCACCGTGCCTGCCTTGCAAGTGCAAGGTCCAGGGTTTGATTCCCAGTACTGGAAAAAAAAAAAAATGTGAGTACCAAATTCAGTAAGTTCAAAGCAGTTGACTACCAAGGTTTGATTGTACGTATAAATGGGTGTTGATCATACAATTCTTTTCTGTTTAAATGAAGTTTGTGTTGTTTTGGTTTGGTTTGAGACAGTGTCTCAATATGTAGTTCAGGCCTGACCTTGCACTCACTGTGTAGCCCAAGCTAAGCTCACACTCTCAGCAATCCTCCTACATCAACCTACAGAGCACGGAGATTACAGGAATGTACCACCACGCCTGGCTTATAACAAAATATTTTGCTGGAAGTACAGTCTCCCTTTTCTTTTCCCCCTGCACCTAGTGCAACCCATATATATCCCTACCTATCACAATAATCATTGTTAAAGTTTCATATATATATATTATTCCAGAACTTCTTTATGCATATAAGCAAAATTGAATAGGTATTATTTTCCCTTCACATGCAAAAAAGGAATACATTACAAAGCCTATTTCTGCATTTTGGGTTTTTTTCTTTTAATATTTCCTGGAGAGCTTATCATTATCAGCAGTATATGGAGAGCTTCTTCACTTACTATATTTAGTCTGTTTTCAAACTTTTGCCATCACAAAACTATAATATGTTTCAAAAGTGAATTTTTTTCCTTTTTTTTTTGCTGGTGGTGGTGGTGCAGGGAACCGAACCCAAGGTCTTGCATCTGTTATGCAAGTGCTCTACCACTGAGTTATATCCCCAGCCCAACAGTGAGGTCCCGTCCCCCCCCCACCCCTGCCAACAGTGAATTTCTAAACAAACACTTTACTTAAAAGGACACCTCTTTACCATTTGGTTTGTTTGTAGTACTAGGGAATTGAACTTAGGGCCTTCATTCACACTGAGCTACACCACCAGTTCTTTTTTTGTTTTGTTTTGTTTTTTTGTTTTGTTTTGTTTTGGTTTTGGTTTTTTTGAGACAGGGTCTCACTATGTAGTTGAGACTGACCTGGAACTCACTATGTAGCCCAGGCTGGTCTTGAACTCACAAGTGATCCTCCTGCCTCAGCCTCCCAAGTGCTGGGGTTATAGGCATGGACCACCACGCCCAGCTTTGTTTTCTTAAAGCAGGGTTTCCTAAACTGCTAAATTGCCTAGACTGCATTTGAATTTGCAATCCTCCTGCCTCAATCTCCCAGAGTGCTGGGATTACAGGTATGTGCCACCACATCCAGCTTTATTCACTGTTACTTTCTATATTCAACCAATTTGACACTTCAAAAATATAAACGTTTCAAATACATTAAAACCACACACAGATGTCAGTCCATTAGAATAACTAAGGAGAGGGGTATAGGTCAGTGGTAAAGTATTTGCCTTGCATACATGGGGTCCCCAGAACCACCAAAAACAATCAAAAGGCTAAGTAGCCATTTTTCAGCAAAAACTCACATAAAACTTGATCACATAATTAAGGTTATCTTTGATGTCAGGCAAGATAAAACCAATAAGACTGTATATCAAGAAGACCAGATAAACACTGATTCTCACCATCATTCTGTTCTGTAATTCTGGCTAAGTATTTTTTGTCCTCAACACTAAAGATAAAGTGGGGATGGGGATTTAGCTCAGTGGTTCTGCTGCCTGCCTTGCAAGCACAAGGCTCTGAGTTCAATCCCCAGTACCAAAAAAAAAAAAAAAGAAAAATTGCACTGCTATTATGTATCCAGTAAGGAACACAGTAAGATAAATTAATTTAAAGAATTAATTTCCTTTATTATAAGGAAAATGAATTACTAAGTTTACTAAGCAAACTGAACACACTTCTTAGATGAATTCAAGACTATTCAAACCCTACAGTGAAGGACCAGATTTTCTCGCAAACCACCATGGACCAACATTTTTGTAAAATAAAATAAAAATGTTATGGCAATGTCAAACTGCAATGAAAGTGACTACTTACCTTTTGAACTTAATGCATCACAAATACAAACAAATAATTTGAAGATTAGCAATAGCAGATGAAGCACACTTTGGTTAGCACTGATGCAGACCATAAGTAGAACTAATTTTTTTTAAAAGTTCTTAAAGTTAGCTAGTCATGAATCGGTCTAAATACATCATCGTAAATTAGAAAATATTTTAATTTACCTTGGGGAAATATTTGCATAGTCCCATGTACGCAAGTTGTAAAGTAAGAAATGGAGCAAATATGGACTGTGAAGATACAAGATAAAGTTAAATACTTTCAACATAATCATTCAAATCACAACAAATCAACCAAACAAAAGCTATAAAATTCCAAGCAAAAAATATTTTTTTCAAGTTATATAATTCTTTAAAGTGTTTTCAATTTCTCTAAAAAGTCTTCTCTCACAAAAACTGATCTTTAAGGTCAGAGTATCAGATAGTGACAGGTATATAATATAGTGCACCATGTAGTAGTATCTCTCCCACCTAGAGGGAAATAATCGGCAATCTGAAGCACACATAAAGTCCCAGCACTCAAAACAGATGCTACTCATCCCTCAGACTTACATCTTGGGCCCTCCAAAGACAAGCCAGCTATTCTTAGCACATATAAAATGGCTTGATGATCTAGCTGCTCAAACAAAATGGAAAAGTAACATGTAATTCATATACTTATTTCTAAAGTTAATATTATGAAAGGACCAAAGTAGTATAGTACAAACAGGGAGAAATAAACCTTTGAAAATCTGATAGTGAAGAAAACCAGTAAATCCAAGCCACAAAAAAACTTGCAAAAAATGAGGCACAAAAGTGAAATATAGCTTTCGTATATGTGCTGCCAAAACAAGCACTGAGATATAGCTTTAAAAAACATGAAGCATAGTTATTTCATTAGAAAAAAGTGGTTATGCAGCTCACTAAATCTTAAAAGCATTATTGATCTTTACTATGATATTAATTTATCATGGGGGCAACAAATCTATTGAACAGATTCTATTTGAGAAAACATTTGCATAAAACACTTGCTTGAAAATAGGTTTTATAAAACTATTTTGCTTAATGATATAAATCTTAATTATCTAGAAAATTTATGCACCTGATACACAGTAGGTAGTCTTTTAAAATGTCTACTGAATAGGAATATCTCAAAGAGCAAGATGCTGAATATTTTTCTGTATTCTTCCACATACCGTAAAATAACAGACATCAAGTTATTATACCACAACATATAAAACACTGAAAGATCTTTTGAGCCATAAAAAATTTCATATTCAAGACCACATGAATTGTAGTTTGCTTTATGAAAATTAGTGTTTTATATATCCATATATATATATATAT